AACTAGTGTCGAGTCCGCATTATACTCAATGCCGACTTACACTTGTGGATATGTTGCCGTAGTTTATTTGAAATTACATTGATTTGATCGTCATTTCACTTCAAGTCAACGGCTAGGTTACATAAATATTTAAAAAAAAAACAGAAGGATTTACGCAACTGGAACTCTAATTTAATACCGTGTTCCTGAATGACGATATAAACAACTAAGTAGAGATGGGCGAGGAAGCTTCCACCGTGTCATCAGTAAAGTCGATTGATGTAGTGAAATGACTGAACAGGAAGCCTATTGCCTATACCTATACTAAGAATGCTGTTGAGCCATTGGAAACTTGCCGAAGAAGAAGTAAACGATCAATATTACCTTCGAAAACCTCGACAAGTTGTAATTAAACGTTATAACCTATGTGTGATGGAAGCGACTTACTTGACGGGATTATTGGTAAACACCCGATACGTGGAAGAGCTGGTAAACTCAACCGGTGGACCGTTCGATCGGTTGTTCTTTTTTTGTATTTCTCTGTAGCTCTAATTGGATAAATCCACCGAGAAGACGCTGTTAAATGTGAACTCCCACGTACACAAAATAAACAGTGAACTCCAACGTGGACAAAATAAACTGCAAAAAATGCCACTGCAGAAAGGGCTCTAAAAGTTATTTTGAGCCCGTAGAGGCAGATATTGTAGCTCTGCCATCAAACCGAATACGTAGGCTGTGGAACCTGTTCTCCATGTAGCTAAAAGATTGAGAGAAGCTCGACACGCCTTCCTATATTATACGTCATAAGTACTCAAACAAAAAGGTCGAAATGTCTGCTTAGGGGTAAGTAAAGTAGAATAAGTAAGTGTATTATACATATATAGATAACTTTTAGACAGTTTTACGAACATTAGACTGCCACGCACATCACAACATTTACATATTAACAGAGCATATACCCAACATAAAAATATAAATATTGCAATTATTATAGTCCGGTCCCTGTAGTTGGGAAATAAACGTCGTCTGGTACAAAATTCTACACCCGTTTCACATTTCCATCCGTAAATCCTGTCGTCTTTGGTGTCCAGAGTCCAGACATACCTTCACTGTTGACCACCCGCTGCTTGCATCGCGCGGTAGAATATTCGTCGGTTTGTCATATCGGCCCGGGATTGGGCTCCAGTTCCAGATCCTCAGTAGTGACGTGTTGACGCATGCGCACCACGTGTAGAGTCTCTTTTCGAGGAGTGCCTGCACGCGTGCAATACACTAATTCACGTTCGTCCAGCTACACGCAGAGCTTAGCAACACAAGTTAGCGCTATGTGGAACGGGTTCGTCTCATTCTCCTCTGCCATAACGCCGAATTCAGCAGTAGCTCATGGTCACGATTGTTTAGGTCTTGTTATAGCATCTGCATGAATGATCTTTGCGATTCCGGAGTCAGTTCCAACACCACTAGCCTGCGTCTCCAATAGTACTTCAACCGTCTCCTCCAACTCATCGAGACGGTTCTCGCAAGAGCATGCCGACGATTTTAGCTCGAACAAGTCCTGTCGTAAGTATGGAGCTCGTTTCTGAGACTCGTCTTTTGAGAGTTTGCCTTAGTGTTGGATAACCGTTGCTACTCAGGGTTCGGGACTTCCGTTACTCTCATCTCTGGACTGTATTCGCACTTTCCATCAGTCATTTTGGCGCGGTGCAGTCATTTTGCCGAGTCACAATAAAAAAAAAGGTCCTGGGTTTTGACAGTAGTACGGCGTTATTTTTTTTTACACCCATGCAGTTCATGTCTTTAAAACTTTACACAGACTTTTTGCTTGATTGCTTGAAATAAGACTAAAAATTTTTTGGCGGTTTTGAAAATTATCTTTTATTAAATGACGATGACATACATTACCGATATACTAGGGTTATTTG